GAAATAACGCAAGACTGCTCCGAGTTTTGCACTTGAATGAGCGACAAAGATTACGCTATGCAGTATACTCCGGAAAACAAAATGTTGACCGGGTCATTTTGGGTTAATTACCTATTATGACCGCTAAAAAGTCTGTGGAAGATGTATTATGCGGTTCCTGCTGTCAATAAATTCTAAATGAGCACCGGAAACTATCCCGTACAACAAGCCCAAGAGTAATAAAACAGGATGGTTTTGACCTTGTTCTGACCTTCATAACTGACCTTAGGTTAACGTAATTTGCTCATCCAGTACTTGTGTTGCCTGAGAAAGCATCCCAGAGGTATATGGCTTCGTCTAACACTCCGTTGTTGCATCAGATTGAACGATTCCCTAGAAATTGACTTCGTTGAAACCACGGCCTGACTTTGACCTGCCATAGGTCAGTGACATTACAAGGTGCATCTAATTTTTTATACCAAACGATTCGCTGTTCAATAGCCTACAGCTATGCAAAATTTGGCTCGGCTACGCCGCGCCGTTCGGAAACCATTCTGAAAAAACCTTCGGGGGTCAATTTGGCCCACCCCACCTGAGCGCGTGTTGACGTTTGTCTGGTATCAGAACTGCCAGTGCCGCAGACGCGACTGGGTCCATGTGTAGCGGTGACTGTCGTTGGGTAGTGCCTGGTTGCGTGCTGCAAGCGCTGGGGCACTGCTGCGGGACCGGCCTGACTGACCATGACCCGTCATCCGTAGAAGCCGGTGATGCTCGACGCCGAGGACAACCTGGGACGCTGCGCCCACTGCCACCACGTGTTCTGCGCCATCTGCCAGAACGCCTCGCACGGCACCAACCCGTGCTCGATCAAGAGCGGTGAGTGCCAGCTCCGCTGCCGGCTCCGGTGGCGACCGGTCCGGCCCCGCTCCGTCACAGTGCCGCCAGCGCCGCTGCGGGCTCCGTCAGCGGCGCTCCGGCCCCGTTCCGTCACCGTGCCGTGCGGAAGCATCGGCGGGCGCTGACCGCATGGGAGTAGCCCCCAGGGACGGCTACAGTCCTGCAGTGAGGCGCGTGCGCGGTGTATGTGGAGGCCGCTTGCTACGGTGACGGCAGGGCGGGCGAGTGGAGCTGGAAGTGTGCGTCCTCCTGTCAAGGACAGCGCAGCCGTGCTGACCGTGCCCACGCCGCGCTCCAGGCGAACGGATGGAGCTGGTGCGGCAGTACCAGGCGGCGTCCAGCGCCGACCGCTCCGTGCTGGAGCGCAGGTTCGGCCGGCGCCAGCTGCAGCGGCTGGTGGAGGAGGTGGAGTCCATGAGCTGGATGTCGGACAACAGCGAGCGCTGTCCGCGCTGTCGCACGCCCATCGAGGTGAGACATCACTCCGCCAGCGCCGCGTGCTGCCCCGCCTAGCCAGGATCGGAGGCCACCATGGCCCGCCCTCTCGGAGGTCACACCGAGTTCGATGGGACTCTGGTATCCCCAGTACCGATCGGACGAGCAGCAGCTAGTCTTTGGTTAAGTCATAGGTTAAAGTGGCAGAATAATAGCCATGTTTTTCACCAAACTGGCGCGGCTGTTTGATACAATGGTGACAAAAAACATGGTGCCATCGTGTCTGAAGGTGCCGTGCTTACTTTGCCCGGAAGCCAACCCGTCGTTTCTTTTGTCAGAGTGCAATCGGCATCTCTTTATTGTGAGGTCGGAAGGTCATGTAATGCTGTCCAGGTCGCGGGTGATGTCATGTTCATATTAATGGGAGCAGCAGATAATTCGTTAATGGTCAGGAACTACGAGAAACGTGTGATACTGGGACGTGTGGGACTTTACAAAACGTGCGTCACGACACAGTTCATTGCGTGGTGTTTTCCGCGGGGGCGGGTGGCGATATAATCCAATCCCGTCGTGTCAGTCTTCCCCCCTCCCCCCCCCGCGACACACCGGCCGAGGCCGCGCCGTGGCACGCCCAGCCGAGGTCGCCGCCCGTTGTGCGGACCAATGTCGTAATGACGCGAGTCACACCATACGGCCGAGGAATTCCGTAACCTCCCCACCGCACCTCCCCCCCCCCCCCCACCCCCCCCCCCCCCCCCCCCCCCCCCACCCACCTGCTCGAGCGCTACCAAGTTGTGGCGTGTGCCACCGCTGACGCCGGTCCCTGGCGGCAGAAAATCGACGGCTGCAACAAGATGTCGTGCACCAAGTGCGGCACGCTCTTCTGCTGGTTGTGCAACGCCAAGCTGCCACGCGAAAACCCATACACGCACTTTAACGTGCCGGGCACGCCATGCTTCAACAACCTGTTCGCCGGCGTGGAGAACGAACCTCTGGACGTCGAGCTGGACGAGGACGAGGACGAGTACGACATCGGTTTCTTCCTGGACTGATGCTCCCGTGGCCTGCCGCTGCATCCGACTCCGGTACGCGCCGTCTCAGGGTTCTGCAGGGTTCCCTCGAGATCGCGAATGGTGTGGCTGTGGGCGACGATGGCCGCCGCGCGCCGGTCTGCACCCTGCGGCCGGCAGCGGCGACGGCGGGGATGCGCCGCGTGACGGCACCGGCTGGCTGTGATGTGGGCTACTGCAGACGGCTGTGACCGGCGCGCCTCGCCAGGGAGCGGGCCGACGCCGCCGGCGGGCCAGTGCGACCGCTGTGACGGACGCGACCCCGCCTCCGCCTCCGGCCGGCACGGCCCGGCGCGGGCCCGCCCTCGGATGCTGGCTGCCGCTCCCGGGGGCGATTTTGTACAGTGTGTCGGGCCATCTTTACGTTTCGTTCGCATGAAGCGTCTTTCGTGTGCTTTCTGTAGTTAGTTGTTGTTTTCATTGGAGCGTGCTCCAAGCGTATCAGCCCGTTGCGTTATGTATCGTTTGGGTGTGTATATTCCTTAAATGCTGTTGCAGCGCGGCGCGGAGACCTACTTTAGCTCGGTGCTCTCATTTGGAATCTGGCGATTGGGCGTGAAAACTGTACTGCAGGATAAGACTAGTTTTAGGAGTGACGTGTCAGTATGACATGTCGTTGTTCTGTTAGTAGCCTGTACAAGCATCTGTTCGGGGATTGGTAAGCAGATATTTTGCTGGCAATGGATTGCGGAAATATATGTACATGAAGATGCCGCGAAAATTTGGTGGCCTGTTTTCACAAGGTCTTTTAGCTGACCATTTTAACAAGTTCACACGAGTGAAGTCAAAGGAGACGATGGCAACATAGAAAGCTAAAGATAATGGCTTCCCTGGAAACTCGCCGTAACTCTTTACGTAAAATCAGCTACGTCTGTGGGAGGTGCGATATCCTTGCCGCGTCCGCAGGGTAAATGGGTTAAGTCCGCGCTCGGCTTCGGGCCCTGTCAGAGCACCCTGTTTTCACCGAGTTCTGGCGGCGTCGGGGCCGAGTCGGGTGAGTCGGCCAGTCTATGCTCGATCAGCGTACAAACACCGGCCGCGCTAGCCACGCGCGCATGACATACCGCCTGCCGCATCAACCATGTGCGCGTGACATACTGGCTGCACCAGCCACGTTCACATGACATACCACCGGCCGCGCCGGTCATATGCACGTGACCACCGGTCGCACCAGCCATGCGCGCGTGACGTACCACTGGCCGCGCTAGCCATGCGCACGTGGCATACCACCGATCGCCTTTGGCCGGGTGGTGGCTATCGTCTTGAACCGGTCGCTACGTAAGCAAGCGCGGCCAGTCTCGTCGAACCTCGGCCGAAGCCATAGTATGTGGCGTTAATTTCATTTGTTGTAGCGTATGTTTTACGTTCGCATTTATGAGCCCCTCCTTAGCATGCCGCGAGGACTCCGAGAATGGTTTAGCTACATCGCAGCAGCAATGGGAGTGACGAAATCATTAATCCGTGGCATTTTTTAGTTACATATTTGTTCTTGGAGGGTTGATTTGCTCTGAATTGAGCTGCTCGCTAGCCAAGTCCTTCCTTGGGGAGCAGCCAGTGACGTGGCAGGTAGTTATGTCGCAAACGGACAACTGTAGTCTAAGCATCGAAGCTGTTCGACGCAGGATACCTTAACTCATCATTGCACGTAGTTACCTGTGGCGTCAATTCCGGCTGGCTGCTCTTCTGTATTCAACAGGTGCTGCCAGAAAGCTGCCTCAGTGGGAACAGTGACGTCATACACCAGTGGCACCTGGCACACCTCTTTGTACTGGCTGGCTGCGTTGGCAGTGGTGAGAGGCGACCAAGCTGTCTGCCATGACACCACAGCAGAGGTAGCTACAGGTGTGATCATGGTGCGGTCATTTGCCATTTCTGACCATTTTTTGCGATATTGTGTGCCGAGACAACATTGAGGGTGATAGGGCCGCCTTCGGCCGACGAGGCAATTTGCGGGACAAACCATCAAAGCTGAACCAAAATTATTGTTCACCGTTACCTCTCCGATTTGGAGGAACGTTGGCATACGTACCTATACCTATGCATCGTGTATATATATATATATATATATATATATATATATATATATATATATATATATATGTGTGTGTGTGTGTGTGTGTGTGTGTGTGTGTGTGGTGTGTGTGTGTGTGTGTGTGTGTGTGTGTGTGTGTGTACATATATATAATAAATAAGCACTGTGGTTTTATGGGATTTTTGGTTACATAGGTCATGATATGAACGCCACGGAATTTTCAAGCTCATGCGGAAGGTTGAGCCAGGCCATATTTCTTGGCAATATATACGGTTAAGCGTGAGCATTATTTGAAACGATAATTTGCTGCATCCATTAAAAATAGAAATGAGTACTTCTGGTCATCTTTTGCCACGTGGCTCCATCACCTTTCTTACTTACATGATCTTTTGAGATTATCCTATGTTGAAGTTTTATCGGGAGGATGCTCTGCGCATTGCCTAAATGGTCATATCCATTTTTTCTCTGACTCGGACTCCGACAACTCCGACTCTGTGACGCGTCTTCGAGGTCAACGCTGAGGTCATTCTGTAATATGTCATCGAGATCAGCCCCGAGATCACTAGTGAGTCATCGAGGTCACTGAGGTCACTGTGACGTGTCATCAAGGTCAGCATTGAGGACATGGTGTATGCCTGTATGTATGTTTGGTGCGTTTGAGTGAATATCTACGATATGGGTTTCGTATGAAAGATTGTCGCCGAACACATACGTTGGTGACAGGTCGAAGAATGTGAAAGGTTATGCAGGTCACGTATCAGTCGTGACCTCATTTTGGGCAAAAGCGACAGGTGAGACGTAGTTAGTCGATATGGGTGTCATTTTATAGGACTTTGTGGGAGAGAAAATGATAGGGCGCTTGATCAAGTCTACCAAACAGAACTGAGAAGAGATGCAACACAAGGTATTGGTGTACTATTGCTGTGGTGAACAGTAATTCTGACGCCGGAAAGGGTTGGAGCCAGCTGCAAACTTGCATGTGATAAAGGTGTAGGCACAGGGGTCTCAGCGGGTAAAACTGGTTGGGGCTGAGCCGATAAAGCTGACCTACCTGCCTACTCAAAGTCCTGATTTCTGTACGGACTTCGGCCCACTTAGATTTTTGTCCCTGACGTCAAAATAAAATGTTTAGTATTTGGGTAGATTCCAAAAACAGGAATGCGATACTGAGGAATTACTTTCCATTCGAAGCCTACGCGGAGCTAAATTTTTATTAAAAGCTTGGAATGGGGTGTAATTCAAAGACTAAAAGCTTTATAAATCGACCAGCTGTGATCGACAAAAGTAGGTGCCGTTTTTCGTCCCTCAAAGTGACGCGAGGTGCAAGACGACATTATGCAGAATGGCGTCACCTGAAATGTAAAGACGAGGGTCTATGAAAACCGTGTGGACTGCCAGAATGTGCCAATGTAGAGCGAAATTGAACCGCATGACCTTCTCAGCGGACATACAGATAATTGGAAGGACACATTAAAAAGTAAAAGTTGGTGACTGTACGGCCATCAGAGTGGTTTTGAAAAGTAGTGTGGCCAACGCTTTAACACGTGTCAGAAGTTGTATGAGCAAGAAGGCCTTGAACACTCGGTATTTCAGCTTTATGAGTTGGCATGTTTCATGTTTCAAGAAAACCTATGTTTCATGCCGTTTCAATTTTTGCCAATTTCCAATAAAATGCCAATCAAACTGTCAATTTAAATTTCATAATGTTTCAAGAAAGCCCGATGTTTGAAAGCCGTGCCCATGATGAGATTAAAGGTCTTACGTTGAGTTAACGTCCTTCGATATACCGTGAGGTACTGGTTAAACAAGCTGTAGTACTAAACAACGATTATATCGACGGTACTCCATAAAATTGTTGTTTAACATTACGTGTTTTGACTAGTGCCTCTTGGCATATTGGAGGTCGTTAACTCAACATAATATTGTAAACTCAAATGCCGAGAACCAGGGATGAAGGCCTTTCTAGAATCCATTGCTGTGGTCATGGCCAGATGTTTTCAGAAAATCCATCAAAACCAACCCAATATGTCTTTGCCTCTGGAGCGCACTGTACAAAATTTGATGATTCCTCGACGTAATTTTTTGTGGGACAACCAGGGGAAACTACAATGCCGAACTGTATTTTGGGCCGTCCTGACCCGAAATGTGCTACACCTCGTCCCGATAACCCAGTTAGTTATTGTCTGCCTTCCGGTTCACTCACCAGTGGCGGGGTGGGTTCGAGCCGTTTCGTGCGCTCCCTGTTTGTCTCTGATTGGAGTGGCCTTCGGTCGGCGGCAGCGGCCGTACTGACAGTGAGGTGACGTCACAGGCAGCATGGACCATGCCTAGCATTGTAGCACTTTAAGCTCTCGCTGCGGAATTCTGCCGTTGACCTAAAATTTTACGATCGGATGGTGGGGTCAGGGGTCACGCAACAAACTACGCTTACTGCGGGCGCTCACCCCAGAAATGCATTACATCAAACAATTCAGACTAAATTTGAACAAATCACCAATCCCCAAATCAAGCAAATAATCCTCACAAGTGTGGAGGGATAGCCCTGAGTTTCCGTGATCTCCAGTCGTGCGTGTGACCGTAACAGTGTTAAAATATGTCTTTTTTTCCATGCGAACGGATGCCCGGAACAGTGGGGAGCGTCACCCCGATTGTGACGTAAGAGATGGGATCGACGAGACAGCAGCGTCAGGTTTGCAAAGAAAACGAAGGAAGATGAAAAACATACCTTCTCGTTTTGAAACTGCGATTTACAGGGTGACCAATAAAAAAGCCAACCCATGCTTTGCTCGACAGTGAGAAGTGCATCTCTCGTACAACTGAGACTGCGGGGACATTCGAATGTCCCTTTATTGGCAAACTGTGATACACAAGTCACTGATCTTGGATTCGTCAAATCATTAGGGTACAGAAGATGCTTTGAGAACGAGAGCGAGGATCCTGTCACCACCTCAGAGCGCTACATGGCCACCTCTCTGACGTCCTCCCAGGCAGCCCTGGCACGACCTCGTGGGCATCATCATGACGAGGAGGGGCTCCAGCAGGACGGGCAGACAGCACACATGCCACGAGCTTCGCTGGATTGTGAGAAAGAACATTTCCCTGACATGCTTATCAGCTTAAGACGGCCGTGGAGTGCCTTCGCACTCGGCCAAACTGTCCCAACTGAACTTCGTGCTGTGTTGTAATACCTTTCAGAACTACGTCCGCGTGGACAAACCAGCGAACACTAAAGAGCTCAAGGCCGCATTCAGACTTGAGACAGGACCCATCACTGCTGGCAACACCGACAGGATAACCGACCACCTGCGGCAGGTACAGCTGTTACGTATCATGAAACGCCAACGGGCCGTCGGGATCATCTTTTGTAGGACGTTTTGACGAATGTGGACCATGTGACTACTAATGTCGCTGCTCGTGTGTTGGCATGATATTGATACTCAGATACCATCACAGTCACGATTTTGCGACAAAGTCACTTGTCGTTGTTGAGGGAAACGTCAGTCAACTTTTATCTGGGCCACCTTGTACTTTAACTCATGCCCGGGTGGCCGGTTGAATACCCTTCGTTCGGGTGGGGGTCAATTTGACCCCCTCCTGAGATCTGAGAAAGTAAGATAGCTGGAGACATCAAATTCGTAGGATGGGTCAACTTGTATGTAGGATCACTTGTGTCCAATTTTGAGTTTCCTGGGTCATGGCCTCGTCGTAAAGCTAGATATTTCTTCTAAGCAGAAGGTCGATGGTGTCAAATTAAGATCAGTCACCTAGCTCGACCTTTATAAAATCAAGGTGACCAAAGACCTACGAGATTCCTCCTAGTGCCCATTCAGATAAGCGTGAGGGATTACGCCAAGTGGGATGTTCCTAAAAACGAAGTGTTGACCTGGGTCGTTTTAGGTCAGCGGCATACTCTGACCTTTAAAATGTCCATGGAACATGTCTGTTGCAGTCCCTGGCATAAGTAAACTCAAATTGAGCACCAGAAACTACGCCATGGATCAAGCACTCAAATAAAAAGCAGGTTAGTTTTGACCTCGGTCTGACATTCACAGCGTAGGTCCATGACATTTGTTGTGATTCCAAATTTAAATGGCTTATTGCCTGAGAAACTATCCCAGATGCATATCATTTCGTCTACGCTCCGCTGTCGCATCACAATGAATTATTCCCCAGGAATACTCTTCGCTGACAGACACGGCCTGACTTTGACCTGCCATCGATTGATAACCTTACAAGGTACATCTTTTTGAACATAAACAGATCCGCTGTTTAATTCTCCACTGCTGTGTAAAGTCTGGCGCCGTTAGGAAATCGTTCTGGAAAAACCTTGGGGCCACATTGACCCCGACCCGAGCGCATCTTAACAAGCTGCTGCAGATTGCACCCCATTCTTGTCCTGATCCACTGTGTTATCTCATGACAATGCTGCCAACGTTTGCAGACAGACCTAACATACGGCGGAATCGACATGATAAAAAACACAATGTGCCTACAAAATGTTATTTGGTACAAAGTTAGACCAATATTAATAATATGTTTAGTACCTAGTGTATGTGAATATGCTTAGGTACCTAGTGTACCCGCAGTTCCGAGGCATTTGTTGCAATTGCATCGGTTTAATATTCCCATTTTGCTCATATGCATTTGGAGGCGTTCAAGAGCGTTGAGGGGGCATAACTCGGCATTGGAGGAAGCGGCTTCCCCCACCCCCAACCACCCACCCCCACCCCACCCCCACCCCCAAAGTATACAAAGTGATGCACCTGTACAGGTGCGCTGGGAGCGCCCGCATTTCTACCCCATTACGTCTGAGCTGGCGCCCGTCCGAGCAGGAGGGGTGCGGCCAGACCCCGGAGCTCCGCACCACGGATGTTCGGTCAGGTGCACACGACGCCTCATGCATAGAAACGACGGCGCCCGTGACAGCCCTTTTAATGCAAGCGTATGTGCTTACCGCGGCATTCGAGAGACGAGATGACGCACGTGTGGTCCGAGAGCGCGCACGGCCGACAGAGCGGGCGCCATCAGCGGACAGAAATCAACAGGATGTCACCTGCTTGTCAACGACAATCAACAAACGTTCACAAAAATGCGAAGGCTTTCAAACGCGTGATCATTACAACGCTATTGAACATTTTCAGCAGAAGACACAGAAAACAAGCTCAACGCCGACCGTGTCTCACAAGGCGTACGACTCTGGCGACCTCAAAACGTGTAAGCGTGGACCCCTGGGTCCCCTCGGTCGGTGCAGGCTAACAAAACTGACTCGCTTTAACCCGGCCACCTGGTGTGCATGCCGCGGCCGCCTGGGACAGCCGGGCGTCCCAGCACTGTCGGTTACACAGCCATATACAGCTGCGATCCCCGCCGTTTGATGTCCAGGCGACCTTCAACACAGTATTGCTGTACAATGCAACGCTGTCGCATTTGCCGCAGAGGCAGACCGGAACAGTTTCTGATGGACAGCGAGATGTCTGCCTTGTCCCTGTAGCTACTGCGTAACCACTGAGCTCAGCCTGCGAATTTTCGAGGCGAGTCTATTTGAAAGCAGGTCAAGTGAGTCGTGAGCCTCGTTCGTCCTGTGCTGCAGCGTTTAGCAGCCGTCTCCGTCCGCCCCGTGAGTGGATGTCGTTCACTGTTGCTCTGCGTCGGTGCTGTGTCCGGCCGAGTCAGCCCGGTGGCCCCGGCATGTCCGGCCGAGTCAGCTCGGTGGCCGAGGCATGTCTGGCCGAGTCAGCCCGATGGACAAAGCATGTCTGTCCGAGCCAGCCCGGTGGCCGAGGCATGTCCGGCCGAGTCAGCTTGGTGGCCGAGGCATGTCTGGCCGAGCCAGCCCGGTGGACGAAGCATGTCTGGCGGAGTCAGCTTGGTGGCCGAGGCATGTCTGGCCGAGTCAGCTTGGTGGCCGAGGCATGTCTGGCCGAGTCAGCTTGGTGGCCGGGGCATGTCTGGCCGAGTCAGCCCGGTGGACAAGGCATATCCGGCCGAGCTAGTCCGGTGGTCGAGGCGTGTCCGGCCGGCTCACAGCTCGTCCTCGGACGAGAGTAGCAGCTTGGTCGAGTCGGGCCGAGTGCCGCGTCCATCGCTCTCTCCGGCCATACGCACCGGGGCGCCGGTGCGAGTCCGCAATCGAAGCAGCGTGCCCATGGTCGCCATGGCAACAAGCACACCGGTCCAATGCCAAACAAATGCTGCGGTTGCCAGCTTTTGCTGCAAAAAAAGATGTTACATGAAGTATGTGAAGGGCGGATGAAACCAGCAGGCGTTCCCGGACCAGATTTGGCAGACTAATCACGGGTCATAATACAAACATACACACACACACGCGCACGCGCACAGCTATGCAAAAGACAAAACATAGGTATTGTGCCGTTCTAGAAAATCCAGGCTTTTAGACGTGGCTTTGAGTAGCCTAAGCAATCGATCGATAAACTTTAAAACACAACAAAGTAAGCTTCCTAAACATCTACATTTATGGCCATGGGAGTGATCGTGACACACGTCATTTTCGCCCGCCGTAGTGTATTTTTCGACAGTAGCGTCCGCGGCTCCCGGGAGGGGGGGGGGGGGGGGCGACAGCGCCGCGCCTCCGAGGCCTCTCGGTGCCGTAGCGGGCTCACCTGTCTGTAACTGTTGACGTCCCAGCCGTGCCAGCCGGCCGGTGGGAACAGAATGAACCCCACCTGGATGAACCAGGTACCCTGCAGCAGGGTGAAGAAGCAGCGCGCCAGCGCCGGCAGTACGCTGCGCCGGCAGGTCAGCTCGGCCAGCGTGGCGGCCGCGCTGCCCAGCACCACGTACAGCAGCAGGTGGTGCACCTGGCCACAGCGACCCGACGTCACCGCGAGCTCCCGACGCCGGCCAGGCGCCGGTGACGATTATGGCCTTGCGGACGTGGAAAGTTACCGAAGAGTGCAGTTTCGATGAAGCCTCCGGTGAAAGGAAGGCTTACATTCCACCATTATCGGAATATGTAGGCGTAACGATGCGCACCAAACGGCAAAACGCCACACTTTTGACAAAACGCGCACGGTACGCTGCGGTCCAGATCGCACTCTAGCCTGTAGCGAACTGTCAGAGGGAGCACCATCATCTATAGTGGACCTGAGACTCGTGGTCACGGCGTCTTGCCACCTGTGAGTCTAGTGTTGACTCATTCTGCCATGGCACAATGACGCGGCGTATTCCGGCCTAGCAAATATTTGCCGTGCCCACGTGTGATGATCAGGACCGTGCAGCAAGGCTAACTGCTCCTGACACTATAATCGCGCCTCTTTCCGGTATGATGTGATTGTGTGTGTGATTTATATACACGACGGACGTCGTGTACTCAGTGAAGATATAACATACGGTGATCGCCACATCGCCATCACCGGTGCCCACCCTTCCAACCAGGGAGGGGGGGGGGGGAAGGGGGCAGGCGACACCATACAGCCTTAGCAGCTGAAGGCCTTGTGAAGCGCCGGTGACGACGAACATATGATGAAATAACGCCGTACGAAATGAACGTACGCTCTGCAGTATGCACTGCGTTATGCGTAACGGAACACTGTGCTGAGCAACATCAAAGCGGTGCTTGCTCCTCACTCCTTTTGTATCGTGAGCACCAAAAAATGATTCAGGATATGGTAGAATGTGTGCGCATCAAGAACTACAGACGCATGGATGGGGCACAGGGGACGCGCAGTCGGGCAGTTGATCGGTTATGTATCGTAATGGCCTCGGTTGGATTCTTCTGCAAGTTACCACCACTGACCCACTGAAAAGCTGCTGAGCGCTGGAATAGATTGCTGGGATAACGGAAACATCATTCCATTCCAATTTTGGCGCATGATGCATTTACGAAACAGCAATATCATGCCGTTTTGGAAGTGCGTTGCACCTGACGCTTTGATGGACTTTCCTCGTTTGACCATAATGTTCACATGTTGCCGGTCTGTGTCAGTGAATGCGCTGTGTTAGCAAGGGCATTCCTTTGGAACTTGCAAAAGACCGGGAGGCACAGTCACGCAACCCATAAGTAAAGCTGATTTGAGAACATAAGGATGACTTCCAAATTCCAGTTTAAAAGTCACAATAGACATCAGGGACGAGCTAGGCCCCATTTCATGTCGATTGCGAGGGCTGCATATCATTTAAAATTGTTGGCATGCTAATTCCAACATTGCGACCACAATGAAGAAGCGAGGCTGTTGCTTTTTGCTTGCACTACCATGATCGTCTACGATGATGCGTACTTGATTCACTTAAGTAGCACTGAATTTATTAACTTCCTTCAACTACGAATCACAAAAACTTTACAGGTTTATGGGACCAGATCACTCTGAGTCTCGCCGCCGCTGGTCTTGAATTGAGCCGATTCCTTCGCTGCATGGTGCGGTGTGGATATCTCAATGTATATGAATACACAAGCGAGGGAAGGGCCTCAAACAAGCACTACTAGGTGAAAACGGTAGGGAAGACACGCGGGAGACGAAGAGATCCTTTTCCACTCGGCACTCTGGTGCACGTGCTTGCAGTCCACCTCTTGCGATGCTGCCATCAATATTGCCATTGATGCAGCCATCAATCAACCGTTTAGTCAGTTTAGTACGATGTTAACGAGATCACCTAATTGTAAGTAATTCTTATGTTTGTTCTTATGTTTATCACGAAAACAGGTACCCTTTGCATCTTGCACACCTCTGCTGTGATGCGCAGAAGGATGATGCATGCCATCATGATTCAGTGATGGATGGTCAGCCTGCTCAATTAGGTTATACAAAAAGTGGCCTGAAAAATTCGACAAAGTAGAGGGCGACTGTCTCCATCTGTTGAAAGCAATGGAGACGCATCCGCTTCTCCCGTTGGCACCACCAGGCTCGCAGCCAGGACCTTGGCAAGGTGGGGCGCAGGGTTAACGCAGGGCCCGGCATTAAAAATCTCTTCATACGGGTCATTTGTTAATGAAGGGCGGTGGAAGTATTACTTCATATCCTATATATAATATATATATATATATTATGCGGAATTGAGAGAAATCAACACATTACAATCTATCATCTCGCCGGGCTTCTTTTAATAACTGGAACAGAAGCCTGACGCCACCACGAGATCATGCTACATTAGTTTATAGCCAATAAACTAAACTGAGTGGCTGTGGATCCCTGACAAACGCTGGGGTCCCGAGCAATGTCAGTCATTGGCCCCGTCTCTGTTCTTGCCTGGGAAATGGGCCCTCCCGCCCATGCCACCATGAAGGTGACTTTGCGTTGCTGGTGGTATCTGACCGACACATAGGCCCTTATCGACTGAGGAGGTCCCTGATCAGCGCGCAGGGCTCTCTGGCTGGCATCGGGTCGCCTGACCCTGCGGGCTGGGGTCCCTGATTGCGACCTCCAGCATGCCTTTCGGGCTCTTTAGGCCTTCAAATCTGGCAATTTACCGTTGGTTCCGAGAGGCCCAAAGTGCCCCTCGGAACCTGACGGGGGGGGGGGGGAGGGAGGAGGCGTGCCCCCTGTGCCCTCCCCTGCCTGCGCTACTATCACCGCTGCAGTTTCGGGTCGACAGCAACCGCATGCATCAAAGCTGTGCGAACAAAGGTTATAGGCAGCAGCAGCAGTCTCACTCGCAGCTCTCACAGTTCTCTCTCAGTCTGACTCAGGCGCTGCAGGCCATAACTTCTTGCCGGTACCAGAGAGCTTGCTCACCAACATCTCCATGTCGGAAGTGCCGTGTCCGTGGAATGCGAACAGCAACGCCTCGGCGACGAAGGCCATGGCGCAGATGGCATGCTCGAGGCCTGGCACGAGCCCCACGCCCGTGCGGCGCGCCGCCTCGGCGGCAGCGGCCAGCGCGAAGCACATGTACATGGTGGCGTGCTGCCCGTTTCCCATCTCCACCAGGCGACCATCGCGCCAGCCGGTGACGATCTCGCCTGAAACAGCCCCGCCATGCGGTCACAGTCACACCTGGTGCGTCACACCTGACGGTCACAAAATCACCGATTGAACACGCCCGTCGCACATGGTGAAATTTTCGTCCCTTCACCCGTCGCCAGTGGTTCTCCCCCTAACGAAGAGCAGCTTATTTTCTTTGGTGTTTGCCGAGTCCCTTTTCAGTGGGACCGCCACCACAGAACCGCGCCATGGCTCCCGCGAAGAACAATGGCGATGGCGAATGGTGAATGCGACTGCCTCGCCAGTTACAGCGTTAAAAGCCAGCCACTAATACTCCCGGGGGCATGTGGCGCACGGTGTTGTAAACTGCCGTAAGGGCGGTACGCCAAGCGTGCCGCCGACATGCCGGCTTACGCCCATGTGTGCGGAACTGCCGACGCACCAAAGTCGATGCGTAAACTGCTGGCAGGAGCACGAACCGCAGCGCGTTTGTGCCAGACGTGCTTTCAATTTCGCTTACGGGCATGCTACGCTGACCGCGGTGCAAACTGAGCTTTAAGTAAAGTAGAAAATAATAAAATGACTTGTGAGGTGTGAACACAACCGGTTTTATGATCCACCCGCATTCGCTTTCAGCAGTCACTGACCTATGATGCCGACGACCATGAGCCCGAGAAGAATGAGGCAGTCCCACGGGACGCGAGACCCTCTGCGAATGGGGAAGGACAAGCTGGCCTGGAACTGGCGAGGCGCCTGGCGCGTCTGGAAGTAGCGCTCGAAGATGTTGTACGTCCACCACAGACCAGTCAGCAGGAAGGCGACGCCCGGCAGGACATGACCGAGGAGGGTGCCCATCGTGAGGTGGCCGGGGTTATGGAGAGACCGAAGACCGGCCTGTCGGTGTCGCTGTCGCCTGCATGGAGCATAAGAAGCGAAGCAGTTAAAGTCTGGGAGATGCGATCTTCCAGGTGTGAGACTCAGGGTTGTCACTTTGTATACTTTCGGGGAGTGGGGGGGGGGGGGGCTCTTAAGCCTCTAGTGGTGACTTGAACCCCCTCAGTGCTGTTCTGAGCCCGCCCCCTCCCCCAATGCACATGAACAAGAGGGGAATATTGGGTTAATAAAGCGCATTACATTGGGTCAATAAGGCAGAGTGCTATGTAAAGATAAGCTCAAAAATGTGTCTTATGTGAATTAGGTAAAACGTAAGCTACTTCAAGCCCACATCTAGTGATATATCCACACTGACATGTAACGGTGTGGTGCCAGGTGAAGCGTTGACACCTCATTAGCCAAAAAGTGTGGCGAGTCACGGAGATATCCGGGAAGATCAAATATCTCCTAATAGCGCACTTAAGAACTCACCCAGTTTATGATGCCTTGCTGCGCCCCACAGGCCCGCTGTAGCCCTCTGCGACGTGCCTGCCGTCGGCGGCGGGTCCCGTGGCAGCGACGTCGAACGCACAATACAGGGCCTGCCAGCTCGAGGAGTCCAGTGTCACTGGTATCCTCTGACCCCCGGCCCCCAGCCGTCGCCGCTATCAGCATCAATAGATAGTGATGTTGGAGCACAGGCGAGCCGATACGCGAGCGTGGTGATGAAACGCGACGTGGAGGCGATAGCGCCACAATCGGCCGGGGCGCGGGTCAACGGTTAGCGGCGTCGGATCGGCACGGCAGGTCGATGGTCAGCAACGGGGTGACTCGCTGACAGAGCTCTGTGGTGCGTGATTAACGGCGCTCCGTGTCCAGTGCAGCGTATCCCACAAGCGCGTTAAAAGACCAGAGTAAATAGACAGGAGAAGGGGACGGCAACAATGCGGGAGAATGAGACGCCCGGCCCACCCGTATTCGGTGGCGAGTTCTAATGACGATGACAACTGAGTCTCAGGCTTATGACAAAACCGGTTGTCCTGCGTTCAGCCGCCCCTGGCATGCTGCAGATTACTCAAGACTAGATGGGGTACCCGAGGTGTTAGATGATTTGTAGTTCAAAGTCCGGGTGTATTTCATTGTACATCGTACTCTGTGCCAGGTGTATAATTGTACTTCAAAGTGTTGAATGATTTGTGCTTCAAAGTAACGCTAAAAGCACTGTATTTCGATTCATAATAGCAGACTGATCTGGCTTATGTTGTGGGTATTCGTATTTGCACTTCAAGTCTTCTGCGCGAGCAATACTAATAATGCAAGTCCTTGGCATACAAACATTGCTAAATAGGCAACCAGTTTGACAACTAATCTTAACTACACTAAAAGCGGGATGAACACGGAAAACTCGTTGTGTGCCGTCATACCTACTAAAAAAGCCGATGCATTTTGTTACGGAAGCATTTTGTGATACGTCAGCATGTACCATCTGCCTACTCCTCATTTCATGTTTGCGAAGTTGGTCATGTGGGACCAAGTCATGCAAGGCACCACGCACGTGAAGTGACGAGAGCTCAAAACGATAAAGGGCATGTACCAGCATACCAACTGCATACGTGCAGTTAGTGACTTGACACGACCTTTTTAACACGCTGATGCGTGACTTGCAAGTCACGCATCAGTCTCGGATGGCACGCCAAGGGTCGCTGCCACGAAACAGGCCACCGCGCCCCACCGCATCGTTGCTTGGCCAGCTGACCAGCCAGAAGGGCCACAGCCCGAGGTGCAGCGCTACCGTCCGCTACTCGACTTGGACGCTTCCAGCAGCGGATGGGCTGAGCGCTGAGTCATTGGAGTCATACACGACGCAATATGCAGGGGTGTTCGCTCCGGTTCTATGAAAACGATTTCTGGTCAGCTAATGACTGGCCGTCCGCTCCGAGGACGAGGACATTCCAGAAAGAGCCGCGGCGAAAATGAATCCCACTGAATCAAAGATTGTTGTGTGTCGCGGAAATGTGACTTCGTTTCGCATGCATCCGCACAAAAATGACTGATTGCCCCAATCCAGACTGCAGCTAGGGTTGTAATTGTCACAATCGGTAATTTGGAACAAACAGTTTTTATTAAAAAATCAAAAAGGCTTAAGAGCCTGCAGCATGAAGCACGCAACGCTAAGGAGACACGGCGCGGTGGCGAGCCCCGCTACAGGCCAGCCAACCAGAATCGCACCCGCGAATGATGCGATTCCTGGCAGGACTCGGACACCGGTCGCACTCGACTCGACGATCTATCTCCACCCTGCCAGTGCAGGCATGATGCCCATAGTATAGGTCCTTTTTAACCTGTTAAATACAGGGGAAAATGTTCTGCGTTCGACCAGTTGCCTCCCAGTGAGCATATATCCCCAAACCTACGCTTTCTTATTTCCAAATCCATCAGATTTTATCATCAGATCAGTGAGCCTTATATTTTGAGAGGTTCAATCCCGGGATATCGCGTAATCCCGGGATTGAGCAGCTTTCTAAGTAAATATGCCTACAATTCAGAGTGTTCCTCAATTGATCCATTTGTTGCGCACATTCTGGAAAGGATAGTATCCAGGTCGTCATCTGTTTCAGAAAAGCAGTAGGAATTTAAAGTACTAACTTCTTTCAGAGGCAGTGACGTAGGCCTGGATGTATCATCCTAACCCTTACCAGACTCGTCCAGAGACGTCTCCCTGAATCTGGATGGCCCAGCAGCATCCATACCACCATGCTTACAAGGACAGTTTAGGTCATGCCAGACGCCGGTGGACACTCACACGAACTAGGTGATTCTTTTATTGCACTTTGACTTTCGTCTTAAGTAACATAGGACATGAGGCCCAACCGAGATATTAAAGAAATGAGGCTTGAGAGAATGAATAGCTTCAGAAAAACAGCTGGCTTTGCCAGATAAGAACAATACAGACATAGACGGTGCAACACAGAAAAAAGTAATATGCACATAAGCCGTTACAATTTTTACCAGCATCCAAGCATCCAGGGGCGGATATAGACTTTGGTTTTGGGAGGGCTATACCGCTCTTGTATGATGACATTTAAAAGATCAAGTAGCTCTCATACCTACACACAGTCACACTCAGTATATATATATATATATATATATATATATATATATATATATATATATATATATATGACACGACCCCAGAGTGGTGCCTTGGGCTCAGGTCACAAGTCGCACGTGGAACTGCCGTGTGCCGGGAGCAGGACCAGTAACGGATAGAATGGGTGTAATGATAAAGATAGCGGCTCACTGAGGGACTCAGCCGACAAAATAGCGGGCCAAGTCACCTCTCGAAATGTCAGTGTTATAGCGGGGTCAAGAGAATGTGACACATTTGAAAGTATTGAAGCCAGTATCAGATATGCTGAAATAAGCTCACTTATAACTATGGGTATGCTTTTAAGTGAAAAAGACTGCTTTAGATGACACGATGTCTCTTTCAAGTAAACAGGCTTCTCAAAGCGTATTGTTTCATCTCGTCATCGTACCTTGCGCAACATTGATTGAGGGCCCATTGACAGCCGTTATACATAGAGCCATATACCTGGAGCCATATATAACGGCCGTCAGATATGACACCAAATATAAACGACTCGACAATTGTGTTCGCCTTGGCCTTGATTGCCGCTTGACCAATCGAATGACAAGATTTGAATGATGTTATAATGGCGCCACGGATGCCTGGGTGGTCTTGAAAGTCTCTCCTAATTAATTTGCAATTTTTTGCGGATGTGTGGTTCAGAAACTAGATGGGTTTAGGTCTTAAAGAGGGAAGGGCTGTGGACTGCAATGAATGGTCGTCAAAACGGCTATTTCTGCTCAAAACCCCATACAAATGTGAAAGACTCCCTTGAACCATCCACCAACAATGAGCCATTGATGTAAAGCTCACCAAATTCGTAAGCTTCGAGTATGTGCTGGCTGTTGACATAGCTGACTGCCTCAACAGCAGCAAAACCTATGCAATTAGTCGCGGGAGACATGATGGTGCACGCACATAACAGCATACGTCCGGCTGTTTGAGCGAGCAGGTAATGGTTTCGCGGCCTTTGGAGAGGGGGTGTGGCTCTTTTGCGCCCCCTCCCCTTCTTGAATCCGCCCATGCAAACATCATGAACATAACCATGTGGCGCGCAGGCGTGCCACAATTAACTATTGTGGGCAGTCTCGCACAGGCACAATGTGGCCACGCCGTCCGCTACGCCAGTTATAATACACAGACGGCTCCAGGCAGGGCGATAAAACTGGAGCTGCCTTCCATGCACACACTGCGTTTAAACTGCTGAACTGATGGCCAGTCTCGTTGCAGCTCTCCAACTCTAACATTGGAAGCTCTCCAACACCAAGCAAGCCATCATCTGCAGGGATTCTCTTTCCGTTTTACATGATCTCAGCATGTAACCCAACACATTACACCCACTCATGACCGACATCTGGAACATCATCACATCACTTACACCCCCAAACACATCAAAGTGCTTTGGATGCCTGGTAACGCAGACTTGGGACCGCTGATGGGCTAGCATTTCACCAATACACGCTTAAAAGAAAAAATACTAGCATGTCTCTCATCCGACATACCGGGCTCACACATTTTTCTTTATAGAGGGCATGGCAGGTACAGTTGTCATCGGCGCGCAGTCTCGGATACGATTTCATAATTCTTTTTACGTCCAGTCTAGCGTCGATCTCGCCGGCCTCACATCAACTGTACAGGTACATATTGCCTTGCGTTTTCTCTAAACGACTCGTTCCCTGATCATATCTCGCTGCTCTTCGAAGTTCTACACAATACAGGATCATCTTATTTCATAGAAACGGGGAAACTTTGGCAAACCACACCATTTGGCAAAACGGTGTGGTTACTTATCCCCATGCGCAGGATCCTGCTTTTTATTTAGGACTTCTAGAATATCATAACATACATCAACAAGGTGGCGTTGGATCTGCGTCAAAAGGCGGAGTTCTGTTTTCGACGCCTTGATATAAATGCAACTTTACCCTCAAATTAGGGCAAACATTTCTGAACAAGACCGTGTTGAGCTTGAATCAGATAGCGGAGATTCTGTGTGTTTTTTTTTTACTCCACATACGGCTCCACCCATCTTCCTTTTCGCAGCCGGCCAGTCGAACCAATTCCCCTGTTTCGTCTGCGCTAAAGGATCTTCTGCTGCGGCGGTGAACATTGATCAACAGTTGATTTCCTGTGCTGTGTGCACTGCTGTGCCTGCCTGGGTGCCGTCGAAATACATAAATATATGAGGGCATGATTATCTTAAATATAATTCCCTTGCCCTGTGCCGGATAACATAAGCCTAATCCTATGCACCCGATTCCCCGTAACTGGGTTATCGTCCCCACTTCCAGACAGTTTGGGATGATCGACAGGTTAGTAAAAAGGCTATGCATTGGCTCATCAAAAATAAAAGTTTCACGCTGTTGGCATGCCTAGCATTATGCCAGAATTCAAGTGCACTTAAAGTGTAAAAGCCACCATCAGCACAAGTGTCTGTAAAAAGCTCGTTTTTGTGATAAATATATTCTAAGATCAACAAGTTTGTTGTGGCTATTAAGTGCCAATGAAACCACGTGCAAACAAACTCTTCCATTCCAAAGTGTTAGTGCGTAATTAAACGTTAAAAAATCAAGAACCTTTAAAAGGCTTTTCAGGATATTAATTCATCGTAAAAAACGGCTAACATGATATATTCTGCAAGTCAAACGGTGTTGATAAGCAAGCATTGGTATCTATTATAAAATATATTGATGTTTCGGGGTGGCAATTTCGGGGTAAGCACAGCGCATGTACGCACAGTTGTCCTCACCTTAACGTCTTGTTGGTGCCTCGCTATCGTTGGTGCTGCCTACTACCTGCTACTTGCGGTAGCTTATGGCTTGGAACCGAACCGACGCCGGACACGTGCCGGGCCGTGCCGTGCCGTGCAGTGCTCGCCCCGCCTGCCGTGTGGCCGGCACCTGGTCGGCGCCCGACTGACCTGCCCTGGTGACCACGGCCGCCTGCTATCGATCTCTGGCACACCGCCGCCACCTCGCCCCCCGTCGACCGTCGTGAATACGTAGCTGTGATGCCATTCCCTCCGTTTTTGTTTTGTCCTCACAGCTGCGAGAGCTGGGTCAATCCATTTGGCGTAATGACTGGCGCGCGTTACTGCGCAGGAGGGGCCAGTCACGGCATACGGTATTCGTCCTCGGCCTCCGGCAACCGTAGTAGGGCGGCACGCATGGTATCCCATGCCCCACACCTGAACTTTGGGATTTCAAAGGCACATCGAACTCAGGTATCAGCACGCTCTTTCGCTGAGGAGAAACCCGGGGGTATCTGGGTGCCAGCCCGAAATCAAGCTTAGGTTTCACTGTGGTGCCTGTGATCATCGCGTGCGCGCGTGGTGTCTACCACGCGGCAGCAAACATGAGGTTCGGAAATCCATGACAGCGCTTCGAAGAAAAAACGATGAAATCTTAACCATAGTTTTTGCAAGACGCCGATACCGAACTAAAGATGACTGAGTGCGCGGGCTAGTACATACCTGTATGACAACCGTGGAACACTGCATTTGCAAAGTTATCTTCCGTACTCGTTTAGGGGAAATATAGTCACGAGGATGCTGTCAAGCTGTGCAAGCGTCGCCCACGTGCAGCAGGAGGCAGAGAAGTTACAGTAAGAAAAAACGAAACAAAAAATAAGATGCTCGTCGTCCAGCCGGACATAATAATGTCATGCAACCACGAACTGGGCGGCATGGATCCACCATGACGCAACCGTGTCAGCCAAGATTTGGTGGCATTTGCTGCAACGGTACCATTCTACTGGGACAGAGTGTATCGATGTATGTATGTATATATTGAAGTTTAAAACAATCTCCAACATAAAATGGATATTCAGGATGTGGAGTCGATTGAGGTTTAGAGGAGAGGCATATTAGAGAGGACACTCGTAACAACGATCACACGGGAATACGTCGAAGGCACTGCATACAGAACACACCTCAGGTACACCACGTACACACGCACGCACGCACGAACACACACACACACACACACCACACACAAACACACACCACACCACACACACACACACACACACACACACAACACACACACACACACACACACACACACACACACACACACACACACACACACGCACGCACCCCAAACACACACAAAGAGAGAGAGAAGAGCGAGAGAGAGAGAGCGAGAGAGAGAAAGAGAGAGAGAGAGAGAGAGAGAGAGAGAGCGAGAGCGAGACTTTTTGGAGAGAGGTGAGAGAGAGGAGAGAGAGAGAGAGAGAGAAGCGTCAAAGGGACGTGGATGGCAAAGAGCGGAAACTCCGGAGGTAAAGCGCTGAAAACCATGTGCGATCACCGCACGGTGGGCCTGCCCACCCAGGCCTCCGTTTTACGTGATATGCATGCCCTTGTCATACCGTGTTCCATAAAGTTAGTGTTTCTTAACAGATGGAGGGTGAGAACATGAAAAGAAATAGGGCAGCATGATGTTTTCTCCCAAAAATTTATGCAGGGTTCTCCGTGGTAGCCGCTAAAATAAACAGAAAGTGCCAGGAATTTGACTATCTGGCCTTAATGGGCCACTGCATAGTTTGAATGCAAGCAATTTGCACTATTTATAAAAAGTCTTTTTCGACTGCCTTACAAGGGGAGGGCTCAGAGGTCCCTAAGATCTAAAAAAATAAGTGAGGTAGAGTCACGCAGAAAACGGCATGGAAAGCTCTCTTCAGAATGCATCGGATGGGGAAATGCTGCAATGAAAAAATGCAATGCAAAACATGCAATGTTGAATGTGAACTGACCTGGGTTGGTCTGATGCAGCCTGAACCTACGCTATCGAATAGCTGAAAAAACTCTGCCAGATAGACACTTTTGGAAATCGGCAGATGTGGCTGCAATATGTCATGTCATGCCATGTCAAATAGGTGAAGCGAATCAGAAGAGCCTTCAAATATGAAAAATATTTGTAATTTAGGTTTAAATGACTTCATTTCCGAAAGCCTTCATCTGGTTACCAATGTCAATGTTTGGCCTAGCTTGACCTTGGATGGCCTGGGCTTCCAAAGGCAGCCAGAACGATAGTAATACGTTTCAGAGTGGCGTACAGAGGATGAGTCTAAAAAACCTCTTTGAGGGCATTTCCTGCGAGAAATGAGGGCCGACTTTCGCTTTTGAGTAAAATGTCACTGACATGACCTCAAGGAGGGAAGTATAGATCATGAGCCATCAAGGTCGAAAACTTAGGATTTTTACGACGTGCATAAAAGCGATGCATACTCAGGTTCTTGAAATTTCCCCCACGTGCTCAAAACCGTTCTGAAGGTATTTAAAAAAAGCAGTTGGGGGGGGGGGCGGGGAGAGTGGGTGGGTGGGGTGTCTGAAGCACATCTCTCGCGGACCAAGTGTTAAAGACAATAGAAGTGCTCGATTTTATGCCACACAATTATGAGCAGATAATTTTACAATTATTGAAATTACTTTCAAAAGGATTTACAATGTGCAAGGATTTCTAATCTGGTTGCGGGAAACTTGGAAAATAATGCATTTCTGCAATCAGTCCATCACATTAAATCCATGTTACTAAATGTCATTTGTATGTGCTTGGGCGTGACTGGTTAAGCATACATTGCTTAAGTTACACATACCAAAAACACGGCGGGGTTAAAATTCCGTCGCAAAATGTCCCGTATTTTGTGTGTCATTAAGAACATTGAGTGTCATCACCTCACACGAAACTGCTGTCGAGTGCCCGCTAGCTAGCACTCGGTAGCAGTTTCGTGATAAAGATGCAGTTTGGCGGTTAGGCATATTTGTGATATGGATGTAAAACGCAGCTACGCTTTGACAAATGATACACGCATCATTGTACAAAAGGACTAATTGTTCGCAACGTGTGTAAGACACTTGCATGGGGTGCTTGGCAAACACAGTGTCTGAAAGTGATATGAAGTGAGCTCCATATCGCTAATATATGATATGAAAGTTCTAACGTACAGCGTGATGAATCGCATTTCGTGTGAGGTTTGTAAATGTGCACATGGTGAACTTAGGTAGGGATGCTCTATGAAAGAATTCAAAATGAAATTGGCATTATGAGATCAAAAAAAACGAGGAAGATTATTCACATGGATAATACAGAAATGTTGGCTTTATTCCCCGTAGACAACCAGGAGAATGGAAATATAGTTGGGTTGATATTTCGGCAACAGGCCTTGATCGAAACAACAGCGAAACTCTTGCTATTGTTTCGATAAAGGCACGTTGCCGAAATATCATCCCAACTATATTCCATTCTCCTGGTTTTCTCCGAGGAGCAAGGGCGGATACTACTGCCTTATCTATGTTGCGCTATGTATCATGACATCATCAGTACATCCAGCATTTCATGCACAACACTATGCACAAATTGTTCTGCCAAAATATGAAGTCTGAGCGACACAAGACACTCAGTACTATCATGCTGAGTGTCTCATGCCATAGGTGCTCAGGCAGGTACCTAATGAAATAACAGCATAATAGTTTCCTCTTCTGTGAATTGCTTTTATTTAACACTCACGTGAGGACTTCAGTTTCTGAATTGTTAACTGCGCGAGGATGAACCAAAAATCAAGGCCTGCACGGTTCGCCATTGAGTGTGTTTAGTGCATACAATTTACCGACAACAAATAATATTACGAGTTCACCAAATTCGCCTGTAGGATGTGTAAATGAAACGATTTTAACGATGAGCACTACGAGGCAACGGCGAAATAGCGGGGGTCGCTCAGCCGAATATCTTAGTCCAATTCCAGAGCAGATTTCTGTCAGTGGTGACAACCCACGGTCGCACAGATCGCTGCGCAGTGATGCAAGATCTTCAAGGAGTCACTCACGGTCATCTGTGATAGACAGCAGATCTCCTCGAGAAGAGATGGGCGAACCCACAGACCACGATAAGGCAAATGAGGAACTCCACGAAAAAACGAAGGAAGCGCTTGGAAGTCTTATTGTTCGGAAAGACGAGCTCGAATCCAACGGAATTGAGACGGAAATGATGTATAAGGAGCTGCTCAATTGCGTTTCTCCCTGGCGCAGAAAGAAGCTTCAACAAGAAGCCGGACAATCACAGGCGGCATTGGAAGATGCTCTGAGAAATGCAGATGAGCTAATGACGCAAGCTAAAGGTGCATTTGAGGTAAAGTTTGCATCACATAGCTCCTAGGTGTATTAATATGTACACGAATGTAACTGTCATTAATTACAGTTACATTCAAGTACACACATTTGTGTTTGCAATGTTCGTTCAAACTATGGATGCAAGTGATTGTGAAATGGATTGTGCAGTAACTTTCCTTTGGTAATTATGAGCAAAACTGTTGCGCGCCTGGAAACATTAAGGAACCATCAGTTTTGTTTCATCATAGTTACGTGACTCATTAAATTACTGTTGGCAGGATTACATTCTGTTAAGGTAAGGAGAAAACGTACAAAAGCAGTTAGCTTGAACTTCTCATTTACGTCACCAGCATCCGTGAGTAACAACGACATACCATTCTCTCCGAAGCGCTTATGATATGCGAAAACGCCTGGAGCGTTATAAAATGAAGTTGTTGAGGTTTCTGATTTGGCGTTCACTATTGTGTCCTGCATCACTGCATTTCCGAATGCACACGTCAAAATTTACAGTCTTGATTGCAAAGTGTTATCTTTCAGGCACTTATACAAATTTGTTACACCAAATTAGCCTCAGTTCTGCATTTGGTCATGGTTTCATCAACATTTCTGATTGGATAAGCACATATAGCAGTCCTCGCTTGATGTAATACCGGTGGAAGTGGGATAATAATTGCTGTTTTATCCCAACAAGGCATATTGTTACGTCCAACGGCTAGTAAATGCAAGTCAAGATATCAGCTGCAAACACATAATATTCATCGGACGAGCAGTTGGTTTTTGCCTCGAAGTTTTTGCCTCGAAGAAAAAGTGCCCTTGGCGATCACACGCAGAGATAGCAACTGCCACATTTCCGATTCCTACTCTAGCGCACAAATGCATACCCCTCGTGAGACTGAAGCACATTGATTCGTAACATGAGCATGAAGGAAACATTAACAATGCTTCTTCTTTAACGCATCGCGTGTAATTCTCTTGTTGCAATGCACACAGAAAATGTTATCCAATGGCTTGATGCTTGTGGCCGTATTTTCATGGTGCATGGTACGCACAACCAAGCTGAGGAGCAAACAATAAGCTTCCAATGAAAACTGCACAAATCGCTAGTTTCAACCTCCCACTGCAGCACTTTTATTGGGCATCGCTGCAATGCAATCATGCGGTCCGTCTCCCCCGGGCCAGGCTGCTGAAAGACTAGTACGTCATCAGCGATACGGCTGCCACTGCCACACAAATATGCTGAAGCGCACAATAAAGGTCATCTATGTAGGACGAACTGACTGGACGAGTGCTCAAATGGCCAGGTTTGAATGACTTACCATGGGACTTCTCAACTCATGCGGAGCTTTTCTGACATTGCAGGCGTACCAAACAATGCAGGATCCTAAGCGCAAGGAGGCGGCGGCTGGTGACCTCTTTTGGAAGTCGAAGGTCATGCACAAGACACTCACGGCGTGTGTTCAAGTGGCGTGCAACGCAGAGAGCGCCCGTGACCAGCTGGCCTGGGCCGACAAAATGGGCAAAATCATGAACTCCATGATGGCAATCTTCAGAATCATGGACGACCTGAAGCAAAATCTATCCAAAGAAAGGTTTGTGAATAAGAACATTATGTAAAGCATTAGTTGTTTAAAGTAGCACATGAGCTTTGTGCGCCAAGGACTACAGGAGCTCAGCATAAAGTGCATGTCCCCAACCCGAACGCACTCAATGAGTTAGCGCAAAAGCAAATAGTGGGACCCCAGGAATCAGAAAAAGTATATGACATGAATCTCCACTGAGCCGTCTAATTTACGCTGCTTACTGCTTCAGCATATCATGATCCAATTCCACGAAGCCTCAAAGAATTATGAGGATTTGTGGTGTGGTGGATGTGAGGTGGAGATGAGGTGTTCTAATGATTGCGCCGTGTAGAAAGCCCCACAGGAACAGCCCGTCCTTACAAAAATCCTGTGCTCGCGGCTTTCCAAAGCAAAACGACGTTGTGGAAAAGCATGACTAGCATGAATTGCATGAAAAACATGAATTGGAACATGAATATTCCTGACCATTGTACGAAGCAGTATAGGTACGCAGTAACTCTTCATAGAAAGATACACATTGTAAGTGAACAGTTATTCGAGGTAGTTTGGTCTTACTGCAAAACGCATTGTACGTTGTAGTATATATTCATCTCTTGCAGAGCAAGATACCTCCCGCATAAATTCAGCCACGACATACTCTTATAAGGATATCACGCAAGGCGTATCTCGTTCTTAGCGTCTGACATTAAGAGATATCTAATTGCACTGAACGTGCAGTGGGGCATGCCAGGAAGGCACACTGTGATTGAGTTTCCGTGAGCTGCTGTACAATGAAGCTGCATGGAAATGGTCTCACAAAGATTTGCGTCAGCTTCTGTACCCGCTGGTGGACCAGCGGGTACAGCTTTCGCTAGTCGGCAACGTCTGAGACTTGGACGTCACTTGCTCGAATTCGCAACGGGACATCTATTCATGCCTCTAGTATGCAAAGTTATTGCGGATTTTTCATGACTTTACGAGAAATCCGCCGACGGTGCAGCGGTTTTTAAAACATATGTTAAGATGCGCGCGTTTTTGCAGCTTTAGGTCATTGACCTCTTAGGCTTGTTAACACAAGGCGCCATGGTAAAATGCGACGCCGCTCAGCGTGATGCGCCGCTCGTGTCTCGCGCAGACGTGCCCCGTTGGCTGCACATGAAGAAAGCGAAATTCGTAAATTTGCTAGAAATTGACGAGTGGTGGGCAACAACCGGGCTTCTTCCTTGGCGACCGGGGACCGTAGTGAAAATGGATCAGGACATGTCCACTCGGCAGCGAACGGACAACCGCGCCGGCAACAGCGCGCGTCAGTGCGTTTGTGCGGAGCACGTGCGCACATGCAAAAACTACGAAGCGCGCGGTTCACGGGCGCTTTTCAGGATTCATGTCAATGAAATCAACCACACGACGTAGGCGCGTGTACCTTCTACGAGCCACTCATGCAGTCCAAAATTTTTCGACCCATAGTGAGGTCAGTAGTCGATCAAGAGACCCATTTCGTGTATTTTTGAAACAGATCTCGAATGCGACAGGATGTCGCCTAGACCGAGCGAGATGTATACGTACAAGTTGCAGGTGTAAAACTCACGGTTAACAACATTCAGTTAAAACATTTGCGTGTTACGCAAAAGTTGGCCTACAATAGCCTTAAAAAAGCCCGTTTCAAATGAGCGACTCTCGTTGGTGGAAAAGCCGCGCCCGTTTGCCGGCCTGCCTCTGACTGTCAATTAGCCGTACAGTCGCGTATTTCTGCCGAAGGTCCCCCGTGCGGCGGACATAATTATACAAGCGTGTGGCTGTGCGCTCGTCAGCTGCTGACGAGCGCGCCGTGCAGACACGGTTACCAGAGTGCACAGTTGCCACGACCCATGCAGCAGGGGTCGTGGCAACACGGGACAAAAATTATTCGATTGGGACAACAGCATGCACTCGTACTTCCACACAAGCGTCCCTGCGTGCAGGACGGCTATGCGCTTTTCGAGGGCAATTCATAAGCTTGCCAATTGTCTGGCTCACCGCGTGATGTGTCAGTAACGGCTTAAACCAGGACCACTACGTTTGATGCGCGGTAGTTTGTGGCGATCCTCTCCCTATACTCAGTGGTGTAAATTTTTGCAAATTATTGGGGAAGGGTCGAGCCGAAGGCCCGACAACCTACCCCCTCCCCATTTTTCTCATCAGATTTAGCCCGCTTTATTTTGATCAAACACAATATATGTTTTCAATCTTTGCACAGCTTATAAAGGTTTTTAAATTAAGCAGTATGGAAGTCATGCAGGGTTGGATGCAGGGGGCAGGCACTGGACGCCTGCGTCTCTTCCGATCGGCACGTGAAGGCCGACTTTAGAGGCCACCTTAGGGCGCCGATGGCGCTCTTCTTTGGCGGTCATGGGAGGCGGCACACAGTTTGGTTGTGGGGGACGGGACGGAGTTGGCGATGGGCTTAGGTCATCCCTATATTCCAGAGCTTTTCACTTAAAACTCACAAGCCATTGCGTGTCTTATAGCGCTAGTCATGTGAAGTTTATTGCATTGTTTATTCCCTTTGCTGTTATGATTTTATCTTGTGGAGGGACCGGCCATGACCTTTGTTATGAGAGTGGTACGGGACGCCCCTACGCAGAAAGATAAAAGAAAATAGTGTTTGTGTTTTGATCATCTTTTACCCACGTCTTTGTAGTATTTCAGCCAAAAACATTGGGGATGAAGCCAACATTGGGGAGGGCCGACTCAACATTGGGACGGTGAATGTCTTCACAAAAGAATACAAATCGACACTCGTGCCTATACTGCTGGGAAATGTTGCCATCACATATTTTCAAGGTGCGTAATATCACTGAATGTCTTTATTCAAACCAGAAAATACGGCGCATAACGTAATTAACCCAGCAACACCCGAGGTCTTTCTACCACCTAGCCGTGACCGCCTGGGGGTCAAACGTGGTCCTTAACGGACCTGCCTTGGACATTCGTGGTACCATGGATGGTCGTGATCAGCCTCAATGAGGACATGTTGAGTAGACATCAGCACGTAGCTGACGACATCACAGGTGGCTCTAAGCATCACCGGAATAAACTAACGTATTGAAGGCCGTATGACCTCTGCAAGAGTGATAAGATAAATTTCACACATTTGTACACTTTTACATCTAAAAATTTTGACAAGAAAAGAAAGGATGTGCTAGAAGGGAGTGCTCCTCATTTTTAGGGAGTTTTGAACTGGAATAGCCACCTGGAAGACCTTTTGGTGCTGTTCATAACCCTTTCCTTCTTAGACCTAACCCCCTGTAATTTCTGAACTACAAGTCCACGAAAATGGTAAAAGGTATATCGGGGCGAGTATTTCAGACACCTTGGCATCCATGACGCCATAATAACGTCACTCATGCTCTGCCATTTCATAACCGATGCGGCGATCAAGGTGAAAAAATATAATTGTCGAGGCGTTCATATGCGGTGTCCGTGAGCGCGATTTCCAGATATGACGACCGTCAATTGGCTCTCGATCAATGTTGTACGTGGTACGACGACATAATCAAACCATGACGCATTTAGGAGCATCTTAACTAAAGAATTATGCCGTCAAGAGCGGTCTTTTCCACTTCGAAAATATGCCAATAGTTATAAATGAGCTTGTTTCATCAAGTCTGATGCTTCCTTCAATATCTTCAAATGTAGTGCACTCCCTTTAAGACATGTGAAAGTGCACGAAGGCAGAACGTTGTGATATAATCCCCTTTCCTCTACCTCAGTTTCTTCATCTGGAGCAATCACGCACATTTTGAGATACGTATGACTCGAGCTAAACTGCTCATCAATAATTCTTCCATATGGAGATCTCCAGGTAACGTTCAGTGTGTTGGCCGGGCTGTGCAAGGACTGTCTTGCTTGTAATTGCTCTCTGACGACTAGCAGGAGATTTCTTACCACTTTTTTACCTCTGGCTCATCTTCAAACATGACCTCTGGTTCATCTTCAAACAAGAATGTCTGGTATTACTTCTCTACCGTTTCAGAGCATTGACAAGAACTCTCACTTCCGTGATGCAAAAACACGGCCACGGAGACATGTACGACCTCAAAGACATGGAGTCGTGTGGAGACGAGGCAGACATAGCCCTGCTGCTGGCGCGTGCCAACGTGGGCGCTCAGCAGCCGGCCGACGCTGGCTCGTCCCCCAGCCGCTGGAGCTGGCTACAGGGCAAGCGCACCTGGCTGCTGCTGGTCGGCGGTGGCGCGCTGCTTGGCTGCTCGCTCTGGCTAGCGCTGACCGAGCGGTGGCCGGCCGAGGCGCTGGTCGGCCTGCTCCGGCTGCCGGTCACCCTGCTGGCCGCGCTCGGCCTGACACGCGGCGCAGAGCCCGGCCTCTGGGAGACGGCCCAGCTGTGGCTGGCTAGCATGGTGTACGGCGTGCTCTGCTGGCTGCCTGGCATTTGCAGCAGCGGCGAGCCTGTCAGCGCCGGCTCGCTCTGGACGCTGGCGCAGAAGTTGTCGCCCCTCTGAGGCCCTGGCCGCCATTACACCGCCTCACTGGGGAATGACGTGACTGACACTCACACAAAGTCCTTGTTCTTCCTCGTCCGGCTACCTAGTAATAAATTTGTCGTTGCTTTTGCTGCTTTGTGATCGATGGTACTGAGGTACTGAGGAATGCGTTATTCAAACAGACCCATTTTTAAACGACTTCATCGTTACTTCGCGACATTGAAAGCCATTTTAACGATTGCACCCACTTTCTAAACAACTGCTGCGATCGTATTAAACGGGAAGCAAGACACAGTATAATTGTTTTCACGCAGTGTAAAAGTGTAAGTGCAAGCATAAGAAATCTTGAAAATACCTTACGAACATTCCAGTTTCAGCTGTTATAGCTGTGCAATATTTCAAGTAAAGCAAGAGGATCCATTTTGGATACTATTTTTCATTTCTCTCTTCCAGAAAATTGGCCATATTTACGAACGCTTAAGTACCGTGCAGAACATTTTTGAATAATTTTGCGCTTCGAAAACTGATTAATGAATGCTAATATTATGAATGGTTTCCGCATACTATCTCGCTTCAGAAAGATCCGCCAAAGTCCTAGATATGGCTAAAATAGAAGAGATTAGGCTCACCACATTGCATTAAGTTAGGCATGAAAAGTTGCCACACTCCAATTTATACATCTCATTAATTTTTGTCCTTAATTTCAGGAATTCCCTCTTGATTTCTGGTCATTCTAAAATGACCTCAGGGGATTGATATATCGAAACCATCCCCATTATAGGACACCCAGAACGAGCAATAGTTTTCGACCGGAACAAATCATGAAAAAGTAAAATTTGCCATTTTTTCGCGTTGCCTTCCACTGTCACACTATGCATAAAACCACCAGCAAACGGAAAATATTGTTAGGTAGTGCTCACCTTTCATTGAGCCAATGTAAGTGCTCTGGTTTTGCAAAATTATTGGAGCGTAAATAGAAGTCGCGTGTCCCAGCCACGCACTTGTGATGAAGTATTGGAAATACGCTAATACTGTCGTCGGGTGCTGGTCCTAACAACAGGGGCTTGCACCCACGTGGTTTTCATTGTTCGATTTATTCCGGTTCAGGATATAACGTACTGTAAGTGTGGCCGACTCCGAGAAATATTGCTGTGGCTCGTTCCCAGTCTAATGCTGACACACCCATGGGTCGAACAGCAATAGCGTAATCAGATGGCCCCGATAAGAGCGTAGGGCCCAAATGTAAACACCAAGACCCAATGAGCAGGACCCCCAGTGTGGTCGAGGGATTGAAAAGAGACAACTGCGTAGGGCCCTCCATTTAAAAAAGAGGTACCCAATACCCAAAGAAGAGGGCTCCAAACGATGGAATGTGCTCGAGCAGGTTATCAGATAAGTTCCCGACACCTGCAGGAGCGTAAGGTCCTGCATTCAAATACCCGATGTGCGGCCCTCCCCCCCCCCCCTTAACAATCTTACGTCCCCGAGTAGGTTAGCGGATGCGGTCCCGAAAGTGCGTAGGGCCCTCCATTCAAATAGAAAGCACTCAAGACCCAATTTGGTGGGCCCCGAACGACAGTGTGCCCAAGCAGGCCAACAAGTGGGCCCGACAACAAGAGCCTACGGGCCCTGAGCAAGTCACAGAGAATTGGAATCACCCTAGACCAATGTGAAGGCCCATAAATATATCACGAATGTGTCAGTAGGTTAACGGCGACCAACATAGACGGTCCTTGAGCAACCAAGAATACCGCGGCAGGTTATGTCCAGCGCAGGTTAAGTCCATCCCAGTGCTGCGATCGGTTTCCTTACCTGACATTATTCATTTAATGTCGTTGCGACAGCTGGTCGTCGATACGTGGACCTGCCACCCACTTTTGGATCTCAGACATTTTTCACGATTCGAAATCTGCACGTTTCACATGCCAATGGAATGAAGGGGCGAAGTACCGATGATACTGCATCGTTGCAGAAACACGTCACATGACGAAACGGCTTGTATACAAATACCTCAGCGATAGCACAGCACACTTTTTAAAGAACTGAGCTACGCGCTGCCAAAATATCATAGCGTCGTGTCCGTGATTTCGAAGATACAAGCCCGACAAAAACGTGATTGGCCGGGCCGTATTGCTGCACCTACAGCATTTCCGGTCAGTTGATTCGAGCCTCGGGCTCGCCCGGTCCGCAGCCTCGCTCGTAAGCACGGGAGCGAACTGCAGCTCTCTGGATAATGCACCCCAATTGACTTTTCTGAGGCCAGCCCCCTTGCCTACGTCATGGTTGTTCAGCATTCACCCGATATCTCAGTTGGTTGGAACGTCTGTCTTCGGATTCACTTAAGTGGGGCGAGTTCGATTCGCTTCAATCACTCCTGATTGGCAGGGCTTGTCACTGGTGACGGATCCACGCCGTCACCACGTCATGTCACCAGGTTTTCAACTTTTGGTCAGGTAATGTCAACAGGTAGGACAATGCCGTGCTGGGTAATACAGGGCGTTAAACTTTTGTCCCTTAAACTATGCTGTTCATCTGGAACTTCACCATCAAATTTTGCGGTCAGAGCTCACGCCAAAAACGTTACTTGACCTGACATTTAGTCCCAAAAGTCGATTCCGTCCAAAGGTTTGGACCATTGTTTAAAATTGTTGTGATCACTTCAAACTCTGTAGAGCGTTACACCTTGTTACCTATTCATGAAATATAAATGTTTTGAAACATTTGATGCCGTTACCTGGCGAAAATGACAGAGTATATTTCAGTCTGCCATTGGTCGTTTTCAAGATGACAACCAATTAATGTTTGTTATGAGTGTGATGGTGCACGTGGGAACCTACTTGTAGCCATAAATCGTAAGAAAAATGAATTGTACAATATAGGAAATCACTTGATGATGACTGCCTTATTAGATACATGCCACCAGGTTTTGAAATGCACTGAAACGAAAGGCTGCGAACATTTCTCAATATATCACTGCAAAACAAACTGATGTCATAATTACTGATACTTGACTCGATTGCTTCTCATAGATCTCCCTTTCAGACGCTGCACGTGATACAAACTCGCACGATGCCTGTTTATGCCTGTTGATCTTTACACACTGGTCATATGTCCAAGGCGCATCGCACGGTTGCACAGGAGGCGGCGCCCGGGCGTCACGTCACACCGGACCACTGCCAGAGTGAGAGGGCCGTGTGGACAAGAGCAACGGCCAGAGTGAGAGGGCCGTGTGGACAAGAGCAATCGCCAGAGTGGGAGGGCCGGTTGGTCAGAGCAACCGCCAGAGTGAGAGGGCCGGGTGGTCAGAGCAGCCGCCAGAGTGAGAGGGCCGGGTGGTCAGAGCAGCCGCCAGAGTGAGAGGGCCGGGTGGTCAGAGCAGCCGCCAGAGGGAGAGGGCTGGTTGGTCAGAGCAGCCGCCAGAGGGAGCGGGCCGGGTGGTCAGAGAAGCCGCCAGAGGGAGCGGGCCAGGTGGTAGGAAGCGGCCGCCAGAGGAAGGGGGCCGGTTGATCGGGAGCAGCTGCCAGAGCGAAAGGGCCCGGTGGTCAGAACAGCCGCCAGAACGAGAGGGCCCGGTGGTCAGAGCAGCCGCCAGAGCGAGAGGGCCCGGTGGTCAG